CAGGTCCTTGTCGAAACGTTGTACATTTGCTGTTATGTTAAACTTATATTAAAGTTTTTCTTCATTACCCATTCAAGCCGTCTCCAGCCATTATTAGTCTCAAAGTGGGTTCCTCGTTATTGAATTTAAAGCTGTATGTGTTTTATGTATGTACTGAAATTATTATATTGATACCTCTATTTACAACCATATGTTTTTTATATAAATAGTTAAATTACTTAGGTTAGTGACATTGCTCATATACATTATTGTTTATACATTCATTTATAGTCAATTACAAGATGCACCAATATTGATTCGGTTTGAATACACAAACTACTGAGTAATGAATGCCATTTATTTTTGTTTAAGGGTGTGTAGCACAGAGTCAAGATAGGGCTACATTGGAGATAAATCCAGAGGGAGATACACATAGAAAGCCTGCTGAGGAAAGTTTTGGGCTATTCTGTTTAGGGAAGAGTGATAGACCTGAACTGTTTGGAGAAATGAAGTGGTTTGGACCAACAAAGAAAGATATGAATGATGTGTAAGATTGAACATAATATATCAGCATTACAGTTCTGCATTTTTGGAAAACAAATACCTTTTCTTAGTCTAACAGTTTGAGGAAATATTGTGATGCAATTTACCAGTGTCATTCAACTACAGTTCAATATTTCACAGTTTGTTTTTTACCTTTTGTTAACGATTATTACTTGTTGTTTTATGACTTGGCTTAATGAAAATGATAAATTTGTTGTTTTAATGCATCAGTGAAACTTAAATATTTTTACAATTAACATCAGTGTGTACAGGTGTGGTTAATATACAGGATGTCCACAAAGTCCTGTTCCAGTTTTAAAATCTTATTACAACACAACCAAAAGAGCTAATTATTCAGTTTTTAGCACATTGTTTCCTAACTAATGAAAATGTTCTTCTTGATTTACAGATTGTAATCGGAGTGTCCAGTTGCTAATGATTGAAGTCTGAACAAAGGTGGAGAAAGCTACAGAGGAGAAAGCTCAATTTGTCATCTAGTTTACAGAGTGGTGATCAGTGACAACTGTTCAATGGAAATACTGCCATCAGTATGGAAAGATCCTTCCTCCAAACCCAGAATTAGGAGGTAGTTTCACAAGTTTTAGGAAACAGGAAGTGTAATTGGCCTGCTTCAAAGTGGATGTTCAAGTATTTTTGAAGAACCTGTTGCTAATAACCAGGAGACATTTCAATGCAGCCTCAGAAAGTCTATTCCTTGGGCTTCAAGTGAACTCCAGCTACAAAGATCAATGGTACACAAAGTTGTACACAAGAGATTGTATCTTTATGCACATAAAGTGCAAATAGTCCAAGCTTTACAACAAAATGATAAGCCTTGGCAATATGAGTTTGAATGTTCCACCTCCTAATGCTGAGTTTGGAGGGAGGACCCTTGCCATGTTGACAGTGGTAATTCCATTGAACAGTTGTCACTGATCTCAACTCTACAAATCAAATGACACGTTCAGCTCTCTCCTGTGTACTCACCATCTTCGTTCAAACTTCAGCCATTAGCAACTAAACACTCAGATTACAATCTGTAAATCAAGAACAAAACTTCATTATTTAAGCAACAAGGTGCTAAAAACTGCATAATTCTAGCTCTTTTGGTTGTGTTGTAATAAACCTTTGAAACTGGAACAGCACTCTGTGGACACCTTGTATATGGTAGGAGCACATATATTAAGGTTCGAAATTTGTGTCATTTAGTCAGCCCATGAGCAGACAGGAAAAACAAAAATAATAATATAATTGACCCAATTTAAAACATTCCCAAGTGTAGCCTCTAACTTTCAGGGAATCCCTGGGCTATTTTTAGACATTTTGAGATATCCACATGATCTATAATATGAAAAGGAGGTTCCTGAACATGTGAATAATGGGATTAATCTAAACAAAGTATGACAAATATTGGTATCTCAATAATAAAATACCTTACTTTTTGGTCAGTATTTAAACAGTAATACTGTAATTTTTTTAAAATCTGGATTGATGTAAGAATTATATTCATTCCAAGAGTGATATAATCAAAAATTATTGTTTTCAATTAAAAGGTTTTTTAATGTTAAACATGTATGCACATACATATCTGCAATTGACAAAATTGAATTAACATATATATATTCATGTTCTTGGGGTGGACCATTGAAATCTGATAAGAACCAGTTACAATCCCTGGAGGACCAGTTAAAATTTTTGTGAAGGACTGATTAAAAATTTTGTGAATTTCAGATCTTGACATACATACTCATTGAGTGAAAGTCATGTCACTAGTATACGTAAATTGTGTCGTCTACGTGTATGAAAAATTTATGCAGCAGATTTGCAGTTATGTATATAACTAAGTTAACTTTTGATGTCATTAACTCAGCTATATTATTAAAATTCAACAACACTCCATGATTGTGCATGTTTCCATTTGAAGTCGATTAGTGTCAGGTTTTATATATGGGCCGGATTCTTTACACTAAGTGTCTGTGAGTTGTTGGCAGTAAACTTCAATAATAAATAAACAGCACACAGTCCACTTGTTTTAAAATAACATATTAAAACAAGTCAACATATATACAAATGTTCTTTACACAGTTGGTTATCACAGTTGTATCCAGAGCTTTAAATAATTGTCTCTTTTTTGCAAAGTCCACACAGGCTGGTTCAGTTACTTTAGGACATAATTTGACAGAATGAATTATTCTTCTCTCTCTGTTATTACAAGACAATCTGTGATAATTTCACTTTAAAAATTGGCACTATACACTTTTTATGCCAAACTCACAATAATAGAGTCTAAATCTAACTATCCATATATCACAAAATACATTTTGTTACGACAGCGGAAATCACGTGACGCTGGTAACACGTGATGAGTTTCTAGAAGGATTGGGGAACCTCACGAACGTCCCAGCATTTGCTAGACGCCCTCTATTTTAATATATAAGCTGGCAGATAAATTGATAACGGGATAATCGAGTCAAGCCGTAAGTAAAATGTGTAGGTCATTGTGAATTATAGCGTGTGTTTAAGTTAAAGTGACTGTGGAAATTCTATGTATTGCAAAGTTGTATTGAGGAAGCATAAACTAGTTTTATTTAAGAAAGGATTTGTATTACTGAAGTTTTTCAGAAAGAATTTTTACAGGAAATTAACAAACGATCAGAGACCTAACAAACTGGTGTCAGAGAGTGGGACTGAAAAAAAAAGAAAAGGAAGATGGAAACGAGAAGTGACAAATCAAACTACAGCTTAGCAGATTTGATGGCAGCAATACAAGAACAGCAAAAGAAAAAAGAAGAGCGAGAAAAAGAAACAAGAAGAGAGATTACAGTAGTTGTTGGAAGAAAAAGAAAAGAAACGAGAAGAGAGATTACAGCAGTTTTTGGAGGAAAATGAAAAGAAACAAGAAGAGAGACAACAGAAGTGGCAAGAAAACCTGCAACAGTGGCAGCTCAAACAGCAAAATAAACAAAAGAGATTACAACAGTTGTTGGAGGAAAAAGAAATGAAACAAGAAGAACGAGAACATAAACAAGAAGAGAGATTACAGCAATGGCAACTGGAACAAGAAAGGACACAAAAAGTACAAATGGAAAACTTTAGTAAATTTCAAAGTGAATTAAATACATTAAAGGATGATTTGATGTATTTTGCACAAAGAGGATATATTAGCCATAGACCTAATCAGCCTCAGACAAAAGGAAGTCCCTTCCAGACCCCGCAGGTGAACCCTAATGCAAACATCTTCAGTCCTGTCAGAAGTCACATTTCAAACACGAGTGTCAGCAATAAAGGTGATCTAGTACGAAGGAAGCCACAGGAATTCGTTGGGAAGGCATCGTAGGAAGCATATAGAGCACAATTTGAGCTACTGGCAGAAATGAATGGATGGACAGGGGAGCGGAAAGCAGTATATCTGGCAACGAGCTTGAAGGGACAACCACTAGAAATACTTGGACAGTTGTCAACAGATGACTGGCACGACTATAGAGTACTCGTAGCGGCTCTAGAACTCGGGTATGGAACCCAAAATCAGTCCGAAGTC